CTTAATATTAGTAAATTGTTTATTGTCGAAAATCAAAAACGTAACTTCAATCTTTACAAGATCTAGTTATCTAGTTCTAAAATTATATATTTCCGGATAACATATTATTATTATTTTTTCATAATTGTTAAAATCTATTTTATGAAATCAGGACTTTGCATCCCGGACAGATTTAATCCGGGACATGGAACAATGGGACGTATAATCTTGTATGACGTGACAGTTGAACATTCTGAAGTATGCCGTTTATATCTTTTTATATAATTCAAAAAAAGTTTTGAATTTTTTCATACAGAATTGCAGTAAATAGATGACATGAATTTTCATTTAATTTTTTGACAACAACTTAATTGTTATCCCAACATTTGGCTGGAACGAGAGACGTCCCTCTAGAGCTGAGGATTCGAATTGAGGTCGGATCCTTAAAAATTTTCATGATTGGTTTAATTCGAATATGTCGGATCCATACCTAGTAACCCAGCTGTCCCATTGTGGATCAGTCGAATGCGTGATGGCGTGATTAAAGGCTTTATTTAGTATCCTCATAGAGAAAAACGTTTAAAATGAAAAATGTATGTTATTCCAATAAATTCTGGAATTTCATAGCATATACATGAATCATCGTTGCGTTTTTTCCCTCATAATTGTTCATTCTAACCGCTAGCAGAAGTAGCAAATGAATATTTTGATGGTAATGTTATACAAATCATATATTATACCTAATTAATATTATAATAAAAATTACATACGTCTAGTAATTGTAACAAACATTGTAAGATGGCGCTAGAAGTTAACGAATTCCACTTCTATAAATAATTTTAAAATAGTTAAAATAATCTACTGTAGCTTAAATAAAGTAATTTTTCAGTCACATTTACGTACAGTACATATACATAAATATTATTAAAATAAAAGAAAATAAAGTATTTATAAATTTGAAAAAAAATTAGAATCAAATTTACTTAATATTTTAAATTTGAGATGTAAATGAATTTTATTGATATGATAGAATATTTTATGATAGAAATTTTATGATAGAAATTTTATAATAAATTAAATATTTTACTGTTTTCAAGTCTCTCGACTGTAGTATCAATAAAACTTTATTAACACAGATAAAAAGAATATTTTATAGACACAATATTTATAATTTATAGTGTTGACGTTACAATGCACAGCAACTAATGAGAAATATTTAAAAATAGAATGACGCTTCTGTGAAATAATAATAAAAAAAATTTTTATATCAACTCAACGTTTCGTTTAAACTCGTTTATATTCTTATCACGAATTTACGATACCGTTAAATGATAATTACTAAACAACTGAAAACAAGCGCAATTCAGTTGTTTCGTAACCGGCATATAACTGATTAGAGAACGAAATTATGACTAATAAGGGAATGCTGAAACGGCTTACTTTTATGTTACAGAATCGTTTGGGAATTTCCTCATTTGAAAAGCAATATTTCGGCGTATTTGAAATAATATATTATTAAATTTTTGCTATAATCAAATGACGGATTATTTAATTAAAAAATAAAAATAAAATCTTCGATCCTTGCTTAATCGCTTCGTTTGTTATCTAATTCTTTCTACATAATTCTCGATTATCCGTGAAAATATTAAAATTTCTGCAAAGTATTATAAGCAACATTCAGCTTTTCTTTCCTCCCTCAACTGTCAGTTCTAAGTGAGATGTCATTAGCTCTGGAATATTATTTAGTAGTAGATAAAGTTGGTGCTATAAACACCAATTTAAAAAAAAAAATATCCTACTAGCCTTAAAATTAAAATTAAAATACAGTTATTTGGAAAAAAAACGTAAGAACTGTATATAGAAATATAAATTTAAATTTCTATACGTTTATCTACATTTTATGTTAATTGAATAAATATACATTTAAGCTTATGAAAGTTGGGATACGCACTTATATCGTGTTATAGAGCTGTATATATTTATTGTAGTTTATTTGAAACCTTTGAATAGTTTTTAAATAGTTTAAATCATATGTGTTTTCCGGTTTTCCGTGTATAATCGTGCACTAATTAGCACGGATAATCGTGAATTCGGTGTATAAATACTGTGTGAATGTAACATTGTTATTTATATACATAGATATATTTAACAATTTATTCATTTTTTATATATAAATATACAGAAAATAGTTTTTTTTTTTTGGTAAATTTCCAACTATTAGAATAAATTCTAAAAAATATTATAAATAATACATTTTAATAGTCTTTCATTTTTAAAACAGAGTTTTAAAATTTAAAATTTTGATTTAATTGAACATTTTTTTTTTTTACATAATGTATAAACTAATTTTTCAAAAATAAAAATTTAAATTCAACAAAAATGGATTTTAAATTATTCATTAAACAGAACATTTTTATTCAGAAATGACATTTTGAACTAAAATATTATTTAAATTTGTGATAAGAAGTTTGATTAAACAGTCAATCAAACTTTTTAAATATTTATTGAATAAAATCATTCAAATTAAAATATTTAATATATTTATATTAGAAGAGACAGAATCATAAATTTGGTATTTTTCATTTATATTCAGCTTATTAAATTAATTTTCTTTCTTTAAATATATATATATATAATATTTAAATAACAATTTTTCGTTGGGTGAATATTGAATTTAAAATGACTTTACAAGATGTTAAACTTGATGCAGTCGACAGCTTAATGTAACTAAAACTATTCACTTCAATAATGTTCTAAATAACTGGATTTATCACAATTGTCATTTGTATCATGAAAATGATCTAATTTAATACTAATGAAATGGCTGAGCAGAAAAGCTATTTACTCGCCTGATCTAAATATAATTTATAAATTAAACTAAACAGAATTTTTTAAATGAAACATAGCTTTTATATATTGCACTTAAAATTATAATTCAGATAAATGAATCATTTTAAACGGGTATTAAGTAGAGCAGGTAATAACTTTTCCTTGAATAAGAACAAAATTAGGCGTTGTATAATGCGCATATTAAGTAAACAAATACGAAAAGGTCTAAATGAAAATTATTTATTAAATTAATTCAAATATTTAATAAAATTTGAAATATCGCAGCTTGTTACTAACAGAATATATATCTGAATAACAGATGTTTAGCTTTAAACTTATCACAGATGGCTTGATTATACATGTTTTAATACTAGTATTAGTTTTATTTGTTTATTTTTTTATAATTTGAATTTATTAAATATAAGTTTTAAATATTTTGGATAGATATTAATTAATAAGCACGTATTAAAAAATTAATTACTGTAGCAAAAGTTTCCTTTAATTTTTAAACTTGCGATTCAAGAATATGATTAATTTTTTTAGATTGAATGTCTAATATTTTTTTCAAGAACATTACTTTATTGCACAAACATTTTTATTATTATATCCTTGTGTTAATAAATCTTACTTTTACATAAAAACATTCAAGTTATATATACAAAGTTTCCTCATATTTTTCATACAGTTTTCCTATTTTGTTAAATCTACCCTCATTCTTTCCAGTTTTCGACTCTTCCTCACTAAATTGATATCTGTTGGATATTGGCCATTGCTGAATTCTTTCCCTCCTCAGCTTTTGGATATATCTGAAAGGTTAGGTAGGTTCAGTTCACTAACCCTCTTTCCTTTCTTTCTTTGCTTCCTTTCTATGCCTTTTCTTGTTTGTCTTTGTGTTTTTCCATTGTAGAATGTAAACTTATTTGAACGAATTAGAATCAAATAGCATATACAATAACAATGTTCTAATCGAAATAAAATGTACTTTATATAGTTTTAAATGTGTTAAAATATATAGGCCTAAATAATTTTTTTGTATCTTTAACTAAAGAATAATTATTGTTTTCCTCCGGTAATAAATCTTATAGGTAGGATTAAAAATAAAATGATGCTAAATTAAACTATTAAATTTAGGAACTATAACTTACACCCAGAAAGAAAGAGAGGTGGAAACAATTGGAAATTTTCCAAATATTATTTCTAGGAAAATTGAACTATGGTCCAGAGACAAATTTCAGTTACTAAATATAAAAATTAAAAAATATTCAAATTAACAATAAAAAAAAAACTATTTAAAAATGTCAAGTGTATTTCTTTTGTCTAAAAATTGACAGTGTTAATATATAGGCTATATAGGCTATATATAAATATGTCTGTGTGTATATAGGCCCTATACACTTATATATGTTTAAATTATATTAAAATAATAGCCTATATATCAACTGAGCATAAAGTATATAATATATATAATACATATGGTAAGAAATAACATAGGGTAAAACTATACTAAAAAGCATATTAATTAATAAAAATTTCATTTAAAATATATTCTATTTAACTACTATTTTGATTTAATTTTAAAACAATCTCAGGATACAAATTTATAGACATATTTATTCATTTGTAGATCCATTCTGAAACGTTCAAATTTGCTTCTGTTCGAAAGCGTTAAAGTTGATAATGAAGACAATTCAAATCGTAAAAATGTAAGAAAAACTTTAATCAAATTTTCGATTTTATTCCACGCCATTCGAAAGTATTTTAAGAACCATCGGAATGTTCTAGTCTTTACCCTTTATCTTTTTACCCCGCGTAATTTATTTTCTTGGTGTTCATTGTGCGGAAAAAGACGTTAGGGAAAGAATTCACTTAAAACATTAGCGATTTTTCCAGTAATTTTCGCTAAAACTTTATTTAAATTAGTCACAAGTTGCAGATTTCGAGAACAAGAATCGAAAGTCTCCAGTTAAATTAATTACAATGATAAAGAAAAGGAAGAATGAAAAAAAAAAAAAGCTCCACATTTGTCGTCGATTAATATTTGTCGCGAGATGGAGCCACGGGATTTGAAATTGTATTTTTATCGCATTATCAATTTGCAGTATCGCCATCTATCGGATTAAATAGTAAATAAAATGCATACGAGAGGAAAAAAGTAGTTTGGTATGTTTGTTGTTTTTTTGTTTTTAATTTGGCACTCAATACCACGCCGTCGACTGTAGACTTGTAACGACGAGTTTGATGGAATCGCATGTGTTACAGAGCGATATATCCTTCGAAAGGATGCCGCATGTGGCGCTTCCGTCGCCACCGCCTCCCGTTCACTAGAACGGATGTCTGCTTTATTGTAGTGTGCTGTCGGTTTGCGAAGTGCTGTGAACGTTCGGTCTGGTGTCGTAATCGTCCCGCTATGAGGACGTGTCGGCTACACCAAGCATTTAGCCAAAATATACTGTTTAGTGGAAATGAATGGATAACTGTGCTCCTACAATCGTCTATATTGTTTCGAGGCTAGCGAGACCGCTTTAGATTAAAAAAAAGAATTTAATATTATTTAATAAGGTGAGTAAAATATATAAGAAAAAACTTCACATAAATTGTCGTTTTGGGAATTGTATCATTAGCTTATCTATAGCAATATTCTATAGCGATAACGAGGTCAAAGTACAATCTTGCGTGGAGACACGTGTATGTGTTTCTGAACTCGTATTCTAGCGCTTGTTGGCCGTGTTAAAGAATTCTCTTCACCTTAAGATTACAATAATTAATACAAGCAAAGTTTTATGTACGAGCAGTAGCAATGTTTAGGAAATCTAATGAATTGTCATTTTCTCTCGACCTTGAACTACGCGCTATACTTCCTTTGTTTAATGTTTGTTTCATTAATAAACTCTAAGGACCATATTCGTTTATAAATTAAATACTTAAAAATCAACGGAAAACAATGCAATTAATTATTGAACAAAAGTTGAAAGTCAACTTAATAGATTTTTTTTATGTGATACAGAAATTTTGCCTTTCCGGCTGTAGTAATTTCTCTTACTCAGATTAAAAAAAATAAAGTAATATCATGAAGAAGAAAACATGAAGTTGTTTACGAAACTTGCATTTCGAGTTTCGTTTGTATTTCCTGGTTACACCCATGCAAATCGTACGCTGACCTATGACCTTCTATCGCTTGGATATATTTATATATATTTAGACCCTATCGGTTTTTATCGATGTTTTCATTATATTAAAATAATATATTTTTGATGAAATTTCCACCGGAATTTCCTTCTGTTTATCGCGGAAATTAGATATCGTGGCGTGCTAAGTGATAGAAACTCGTTATTGATAAGATCTAGTTACATGCCTAAGTTACATTTAAATACAGTATTTTAACATTTAAAGGTCTGAATTCAATGGTCGTTGCACCTTTCTTTCGCAACTCCGGCGACATTAATGACAGTTTAAAGAACCAAGATATTAGGCAATAAGACCCTGCGAGGGTTTATTTAGATAGAAAAATGATTAATTAGTAGCTTCCATTCATAGGTGACGTCACGGTCAAGGAATGCTGATTTCGTCACATGTTGCTTCTATATTCTGAGCCATTAATCCCGTTTAATTATCTCATATTTAATTAAGTTGTGTGCAGCAGATGTTGATTGATGCTTGTTAAAAACGATGACGTTAAAAATTTAAATAAAGTTGATATATATTTATTAATTAATTCTACTGACTAATAATTAGATTAATCATAATAATATAAATTCGCAAACTTTTCGAGTTGAAATATTAGTTCATTTGTTACTTTAATATAAAATATTTTCCTGAATAGAGCAATAGACGATTTCTGTTATGCATTAATAATTTGTTTACTTAACTTTAGCTTTAACTTAATATATTGTAATGAAATGTTAATAATTTATTAACTTTTGAAAATTTAAGAAGTTATGGGCATCTGTGATAATATGAAAGAAAAATACTTAAAGAATACTTTATAAATATTTTATATGGTATATTTATGAAATAGGATCACTATATTTTATTATCATATCCTGTTGTTTCCATATCCTTCTGTGTATGCATATATTATTATATATTTCTAAACATATACTATTACACTTAACAAGTGCAAATTATATACCATCGTACTTAATTAATGCAAAATTAATACTTTAATTTAATAAGCTTAACGAATATTTTAAGTATCTTACAGCCACGTTTAAAACTAATTTATTCTCTAATTAGAATTTTCATCAATCCTTTTTTTTTGCGTGTTATAAATTAAAAATTTTTCGAATTTAAAAATACAAATCTATTCTAAGAAAATTTACTTAAATCCTAAGAAATAACCTAATTAAGATTGTTAAACTAACATAATAGAAGAACGGAATTTAAAAAAATCCTCGATTCATTTGTATCAAGTGAGATAAATTAACACCTTAAATTAGAGTCTAAGAAATTAAAACTACTTCTACACGTTAACTTTGTTTGTAATTTTACATTTTTCTTTTAACGAACAGGTTAAACTCATCAGCCTTCTTGATACGGTCTCTCGGTTGAGTTTTTCATACTTGTACAAACAATTACGCTATTCTAACAGATAAAACCGTTTGCTTTATTCTAGATGATATTGATTTTAAAAATTAACGCTCCACTAGAAGAAAAAAAAACTTAAAAAAAGACATCAAAGCGATTATTTTTTTCTTCTGAATTTTTTTACAATTTCAAACTTATTTATTTGAAATGTAAAGATGTAAGAAGACAGTCTACATCGAGTTCTATAGAAAGAACTGATTTTACATTTGTTTTTTTTTTTTTCGCTTTTAGATATTGAGTAAACGTCAAGATCAATATAAATCTTAAGAACCATAACAGAAAGTTTTGTTTCGTAAGTGTTATGACATTCATTTCTATTAAATTTAAACGTGAGATTACTCTCTTAATTATAAATGTATAAGTTAATAATCAAAGTTACTTATTGCGGTATCCGGATTAAACAATACAATTCTAATCAGAATTCGGTTTTGTACAACAAAGATTCGATCACGCAGTGTCAATGTACTATAAGAATATTTTTTAAACGTAATTGTTCGTATGATTGATTTCTGATAAGCCACGCTCGGCGTGCCTCCGGTAGTTTTTTATTGATAATTCTTGCACGAACTTGGTATAAACCTATTAAGTTCTTTATTTATAATCCTACGCCATTTCCCTTTAAAAAATAATTGTCTCGAAGACAAATTTTATCGCTTTTTCATTATATAGCATCACTGCGCTGTGTCCGTCTATCTGGAATCGGAAACCTTTAATGCCCGTTGCACCTTTTGAACAACCATTACTTAAATTCGGTACATTGCAATTGCCACTCGAAAGAGAAGAGAAGAGGAGAAACATTGAAATGGAAAAAAGAATAAAATAATAAAAGGAAAATTATACTAAAAAAAAAAACCTTTTTCAGTTTTATACTAGTCTAATAAAAAGTGATGATAAAGCCAGTTCAGACGTTTTTTCAATTCCAAACAATCCGAATAACTCACTTACTATTTTCTTCTTATAAAATTTTGGAATTTTTTACGTAATAGTAGTAGCATCCACATGGTTATTGCGGTCGAAACCATACTAGATTTCTTTTGATCCCTTTGAAGAAATTCGGGAGTAATTGCATCGATAAAAGAGAATGATATCATTGGGAAAGGAATTGGTTGAAGTCGTTAGCTTTCAATATCTTTTATAATGAAATATTCAGGTAAGTTGCTTGGAATAATGAAAAACATTTTCTCTATCGAGCATTTGGGATGGATGAATGCGATACCGCTTGAAGAAGGAGTAGAAAAATTGTCTGTCAGTGATATACACCCTCATATCCGAGATCCCCGACTTATAAACGTTTAGCAGAAATATATCTTGACTATGCAATAATGCTTTCCCTTTATTTTAAGCCGGAAAAATTCATGTGGCAATATTGTGTACGAAACAAAACTGCTTCGATTGGTTGAGTCATAGTGGCGATGTAAATTTTCCTCGATGGTCGAATTATTGAGAAGTGATTCATCCGTAAAAGTCCTCTCTATCCCTTCAAAAAAAAAAACCTAACATTTTTGAAAAATTTAACACGAATAGTTTTATTATTCATGCCTGCATAGATACGAAAATTTTCTCCAAAAAGTCCAAGTCAGAAACGACTCAGCATTTTTCTGGCAAAATACATGACGTAAGCTTCGTGCCGGATTTTGCATCTTATGTTAAGCTAATAAGTCGTAGGATAATCTTCGAGTATAAAAATTGATCCTTTTATCTTTAATATTAAAATATAAATCGACGTAATTATTTTTATTTAATGATAATTTTGGATTTTGAACATGGCAACAATCGCAGAAATGAAATCAATTAATAATAGCTACGTATCATATTTAGATCGCAAGAAAAATTTGCTTAATGTAATTGGTTAAAGTTAAAAATTTATTTACTAATTTATCGCTTAAATATCATTTTACAAGTTTAAAATTTGAACATAAAATCCTTTTATATAAGCTATAATTTATCGATAAAATTACTTTGACACAAATTACATTTGTCACACGTAATGGCTTATTTTAATTAAAAATTGAAAAGGAAAATAAATATATCTGAGATTAATGATTGTTTGATTTATATTAAATTAAGAACATCTTTTGAAAATACTTCAGAATGATATATTATTCTTTTCTTTGTAATGTTTAATTAGAATTATGAGAAACTCGGTATGAGATTTACTGTTTTGAATAGGAATAAAATAAAATATAAATGGATTAATGAGATATTCTTAGAATTAAATTTAAGTTTTCATTCAATATGCTTTCCACAATTAAATGTAAAAGCTTCAGCAAGAATTTTTGTAAACACATACGCTATATTAAGTGAACGAAATAAACAATAAATGATAAAAGTAATTAGATAAAACTAATATTTAAAAATTATTAATGTTATAATTATTTTATTTTTATTATTAAATATAAATTAATTGAAAATGCTTCTGTGCATTTTCACAATAATAAACTGATTTTTAATGTATTTTTCTCTTTAAATTAAAATTTATGGTGTGTCACTTTAATTTTTGTTGTATAACGAGTTTTAAATATTGTTATATAAAATAATTTATTTTCAATATAATCAGAAAGAATTTGGATATTTTTAAATCATTTTAATATATTTCAATTCTTTTTACAACGAATAGAAAGATCAATTTTCAGCAAAGTTTCTCATTAAAATTTAATTAAAATATTTTAATAAACATGATTTTACTTAAATATATGCGTGATGTTTTAGAAAATATAAGTATCTGATAACTGATTGTATCAACAGATAATTCTCACGTGTAATTGAATATATATATATATAATTTAAAAATCGCAGAATCATTTTTCATGATTTACATTGTATAAAATTATATTACAGGATATAGATTTTGATCTACCGCAATGAATTATATAAAATTCTATTTTCCACTATGCGATCACATTCGTATTTGGTTGGATGAGTATATTTTATTTCCAGTGTACATATTTTTAGTACGCTTTTAACTTAAACTGTCATAAATATGATGCATGAGAATTGACGGATTTATGATAAATTATATCTGCTTTTGTTTATATGCAAAATTCTTTCTCGTATTTTGAGCGATATTTATACAAATATCTGATCGATGTGACTATCTAGAATAAATTTTACTAAGTAAAAGAAAAAAAAACCCTTTCTTTCGTAAAATACGCATTTTAAAAATGGAGTAATTTCGTGTTTTAAAGTCACAACAGTAACTTTTTAATCAATGAATAAACATAAAAACAAGTTTTAAATGTAAAATTGAATAGTTTCCTCCCTTTTTATGGAAACAACGGTTTTTTTTGTGTGTAAAGCTTAACAATGATTTCCTTTTTTTTATGAATAAAGTTTAAAAAACAACCTTTTTCGTGTATGAAGCAACAGTTTATATACAAAGCATTCCAGTATGAAGCTTGACAACGGACTGGATTTGCCTTGAAACTTGATAAATTAATCGTGACAAGTTAAAAGATATTATAAAGTAATAATTAAATATTATATGTAATAAATAAAATATTTATTTTAATTAAGATTTAGCGTAGGAACAAAAAAAAAAAATGTATTTTTAATACGAAAAAGTTTACGTCGTTTGATATTTATGCTAATTTGCCACGTCATATATTTTTGTAATTAATAAAACTAGACGTTATAAATTTTTAAACATGATTTAACAAGGCAATCAAGAAGTATTTTTCTAATTTCAGGGTATCTATTCACTAAAGCGAATATTGATTAGTTAATTAAAAAACACGATGTAAGACATCGTTGCTAGTTTATGGCGGATTTAATTTCTATTTAACAAAATTTCTCTAAAATATTTATTATAATATTTTAATTGGAAATACTATAAAAATTTATTTATAATTATCAATTGATATAATATGTCAACGTATTATTACTAAAATATGTACTCATATATTCATAGCATAAGAACGAATAATCTATTTTTAGAGATGTATCAGCAAAACTAGTCACAAATTCAGTCGTGACTATTGTTCGTGATGAATAAATGAAGTCGTGGCAACACAAATGACGGATGTAAACGTTGAATTAAAAGAACTTCCTTTAATTATTCTACAAAGAATATGACTCATTCGGTCAACCATATACGAGTATATATATATATTTTTTTTACTGTTATAAAAAATCATCATTGACCTACATTGTCCTAATGATATGCAAATGTATGTAAATATAATCTTTTTTTCGTAAATCTGTAATCAATGTTATTGAAAACTTTGTCTGATAGAGATTTAATTTATTTATTTTTGTATAATACAATCACGCGATTTTCATACAACACAGTTTCTTGATATTAAATACATGCAATATATAAAATTAAAAATATGTAAATTAGAACAAACTTACCGCATGAGAAAATATTTAAAACAAAATATATCTTCAATAATTATTTTTTAAAATATTGTTTAAAATTTTTGAATATATTGATGTGAAATTATATCAATACGAAGTTTCAAAATTATGCAGTAATGTATTTGCTTTTGCCAACTTAATAAACTCTTCTTCTTTATTTTTTTCTCATTTTTCACAATTTCCAATATATCTATATTTAAAACCAGGCAATATCTCTTAACTATTAAACATGTGATAAAAAAAACCAATTTATAGATTTAAAAGTGTACAATACGTAATTTTTGAGGACGTATTTATTTTTTAATAATTTATATAAATGTATGCAAAGCACGTAGTAATTATAAACTAGGATATGCAGAATATGCATTCTTTTATTTGTTTAGTCTATATTCAGGTTTAACAAAATTTTCCATCGAAAAAGTTACCGTATCATGTAAATTGTATCGGCAGAATATCATTTAACGGCATTAATAATATATAAACTTTAAACTTTCCTAGTGCATATGCCATAATAGTTTACTATAAACTTCAATATATAGTTTAATATTTGCATCCCTTATGATAATTTTCACTTTTATATAATTTATTCATACTTCAGTATGTTGTATGCGTTATCTTATGGGCAAAAAGCGAAATTGCCCGGGGCCCCAAACCAAACTTTTATAACAAAATATTTCCCCCAAAAAAGCCCCCTTGGGGGACTTTTTTGGGGCCACTCAATTCAAATTTGCCTGGGCCCCGAGAAGATATAACGCGCCACTGGTTGTAGACCTTTATTAAAATTATTTACAAAATTAATAAAATACTCAGTTAAAATAATAATAAAAATTAAAATAATTAATGTTAAACTACTGAATAATAAATAAAATTTAGTTCTCTTAATAAGCTTTTATATGAATAAATTTGTATCACTAAAAAGTGAAGAAATAAACTTACCAGGAACTAATCTTATTTATTAAGGAGGAATGAAAAGCTTAATGCATTAAGAATGAATATAAATAAGCTTGGAAGCAATATAACGAATACACGAAATAAGTAAGATACATACTGTAATGTATGTCTATACAAAGAACGAATATATCAAGAATACAAACAAATTATAAAATCAGAAGTAATAAATAAAATGCCAGAAAGCGATTAGTGAAATTTCTTATCAAACTTTAAATTCCAGAAGTGGTAAAGAATGTTTGAGATAAAGGAAAACAGAGCGATGGTAGTTGGTTGTAGTTCAGAAATGAAAGAAAGGATGAGCACATACTTTAGCAAAATGAGACAGAAGCACGATATGTTCGACTCGAAAGCGGAGAAGAGAGCACGAAATTCGAGACAAAGAAAAATATACGTCATATATTAAGTTGAAAAGAAAAGAAGAAAACCAAGTTAGAATCTTGCAATTAAAGTCAACATATAGAGCTAATCTGTTTAAAGTTAGGCATTATTAAACGTGGTATCTTGATGAGAGAGACAATTTTCTCAATTAATGCATTCATTTTTATTTAAGGGTAAGAATGTAAATGAATTTTTTTTTTTTTTTGTTATAAATGACGATCTTTATTACGTCGAGTATCGAATTTAAAGCATTTCCCTTCGAGCACTCCTACTAAAGTTATGCAAATAATTTATTTTTTCCCCCTACAAATTATGATACTAAACAATGTTCAATTATAATAATTTTACAGTAAATTCTATCAAAATAAATTAAACAATATTCTTTATAATTAAAAAAAAGTCTTAAGATTTGATTACATAAAGTACAAAAATATTCATTTTACACCCGCTGAGAGAGTAATTTACATATATAAGATTTTGTGTCGTTAAGCTTTCGCCTTCATATTAAATTTAGTGTTGCTAACAACACTTTTTGTTTATTGTAATGCTGTAATTTGTACCGAATGTACTGTATCAGCAGTTCTTTAAATGGGAATTCTCGCTGAAGCGTTGTCAATTAATCCTTTTGGATTGTTTCAGCTGAAGCGACTGCAGAGTTGCATCTATTGTATTTTATATTCTTTCGAGAATCGGCGCTTATTCTTAGACTTGATTTCGAGTATTCTGACAATTTTTTTTTAAGATTATAAATCAGGAAATGCTGAACAAATCTCAATTGTTCATAAATTCATTTTTCTTCTCGGTATTTTTTTTTTTTGCTTGGAAACTTGAAACTTTTTTAAAACAGAAATACTAAATTGCTTAGAAATCCCTAAGAAACAATTCATACTTATAAAGAGCACTTCTTTACTCGTTAAAAATGATCTGAATGCTCTTATATTTTGTAGATTTATAATAAGAATATTTTATTAAAAAGGCTAACATCTTTATAAAAATATTTTTTAATAAATCATTAAAAAATAAAAAAAATTATTCGAGAAGTTTTTACTCATTTTTACTAAATTTACTTTAGATATTCTCGAATTTTTCTTCTTCTTTTTGTATTTTAATTTTGATTTTACTCTGGTTTTAAAAATACACATCATCTCATTAATATTTGCAAATAAATTTTAATAATAATAAAGTTATTCTTACTTATACTGTAATTTATTAAGAATATCATCAGTTAGAATCGAAAAAATATGCGGATGTGAACTTAAATATGAATATAATAAACTGAATTTTATAAAAACCTGACTATAAATCAATTTTTTTTTTTTTAATTTCAAATTTTGATTTTATTCTAAATAGATATTCAATTATAATTTTTAACTTTTTAATAATATATAAATGCGTGCTTATATTTTAAAAAAATATGTAAATTAGTATTTATAAAAATATATTTTTATAGTTTATTTTATTAAAATATTAACTAAAATGTTTTCGTAAAACTTTTTATAATCGTTTTATGGAAACTAAAATGTATAAAAGCTTTGTTTTCTGTATCTAAAATCAGAAAATTTAATTTAATCTGAAAAATAATAATAAAATTAAATAAACTTTTGTAAAATTGCATCTTGTTTTAATTGAAAAAAAAAACTGTATCGTGTGCATTGAATTAATATTACAGTAGAATTAAACTTTCTTTTCCTTAGAAACAGAATCCTGTATTTAACGATTATATATTATTACATTTTTGTTTTCATTAATAAGTAATAAAAATCCCGGAAAAGTTTTTATTTTCGAAAAATACTTTAATTCTTTTGGAATCGGTTCTGATATTGAAGTGTTTTAAATTGTTCACAGCATTTAATCAAAAGTTAAAGGAAAGAGAAAATCATCTAGGAGGTGTATTCCTCCTCTTTAAAAAGATGCAATTACTCATCCTCTTCTCCATAGGATTTCTATTGTTTGGGACAAAAGCTGAACAGTCAAATACTTTTATGTACTAGGAGCCATAACTAGCACTTTCGATAAGAGTACCGCATCCGTTTTATTCAATCTTAAATTTCCTCTTTGGCCACATTTCCGATCAGCCACTTGCATTAGTTCGGAAACTATTTTTATGTTTTAAAGAGTAGAAGTGTACGTCTAAGGCTGATATAAATATAAGCTAAATTAAAATAATTACTCTGTCTGAATCGTTGCGTATTTACATTTCATGCTCTAACACATAAACCAAAAACTTGTAACAATTCCACTAATGGATCAAGGGACTAAAAAATCGGTTGTAATTCACCACTTCGGCTAGTAGTAGAGTAGTAGTGGAAGGAATTTAATTCTCTTACACCTCTCCGAGGACAGTGGAAGTTAGACATTGAAAAACGAGTCTGTTTTCTTGTCTAAGACTGTAATTACTTCTACAATGCCTTGGCAATGTCTGCCATGCCTTCGGGGACAATAGATTCGATTCCGATGGTGAAGAAAACGGCAGAACTATAGACAACATGTGCTCCTAACACTGTTTTTATATTTTCCTTTTGGGAAAACTTTGTATATAGCTGATGTTTTATGAATTACTATATTGATCTCTGGAGATAGAACAATTTGATGCTCATCTATAGATGAATTAATATATATATATATAGGCTTATATGTGTAATATATACCATTTATTTATATACGTAAAATTAAATTATTCATGTTTCAGTTTTACTTTAAAATATTTAATTTCAGGTCGTATCTCGCTGGCCTCTAATATGATTCGAAAAAATTCAAGAAGACTTTTAAAATTGACTTTGTATGCCGGACTAATGCTTGGAGGATTAGTAATGATGAGGTTAATGCTTGCATCGCATCCTCTTCAAGATCCCGATATCGATTGGGGTAATATTGGTGGTGGATTGGGGATGCCTAGGGCACCCGAGACTCTAAGAAGAGAAAGGGTGAGTGTTTTAAAAATTTTTATTTTTATGCTGTTAAATTATGTTAGGAAATATAAGAATAATCTGTTAAAAATTAAATTGAAAAACTTTACATATTGGAAAAAATTGAGGAGGAAAAAAAATACATGTGACAACTTTTAATGTAATCAGTGTTCAGTTGTAATAGGAAAATATCTTGAAAGCCATAAGATGTCAAGATAGAAAAAAAAAATTTTAATTGCGAATTGGTTTTTGTTAAGTTGGGCGAAGCTTCAGACATATTTCTAAAGAAGGATTAGTGTTTTCTGCGCTGCAGCGATTTTTAATAAACTACTGCTTAAGAGATGACGACGAAAAAGAAAAGAACAAGGATTTCGCTGTCATAAAAACGTCTTCACAGTTTTTTAAACCATTTCTTTTCCCATTGGCATCATTTAATATAGCATCCTTAGTGTCGTGTACAGTTTTTTTTTCAGTGTTAATATAAAAAAATCATTTAAAAACTTTTTATGCAATGTAAATTTTTCATCGCCTGTAGAATCTTATCTTCGTATAAAAGCTAAAGAAAAATTTACGGATGAAGGTTGTAAGTCATAACGTAAGAAAATTAAGTAAAGATGTACGAGACGTGTGAGCAGAATACAAGTCATGAAATGTATCGGAATTATTATCAAAAGAACCTCGGGAGACTGAAATAGCGCAGGAAAGCAAGATGATGATGAAACAAAATCAAAACTTTTACAAGAAAGAACTGTCTTGTAAATGTTCGGAATGACTGGAATGAACTAAAAATAGGGGGAAATATATATATATATATGATGTTACTTTGATCAGTAGTCGTTAGTAAGATGCGTGATATTAATTTAACAGCTTACTGGGAAAACAAAATCGATATTATAAACCGTATTTTAAGAACACCTGTCCAACTGTTGTTGTTGCTAATCTGTCACCCTTTGCAATAATCTGATATGGTCGATTGAAGCCACCTCTTAGCATTAATTATCTTCGTCTACAATCTCATAATCCGATGTTAAGAATTTCGGAATATGAAATTTGCTTAAAGTTTATTGATATTAGTATTATTCGATTAAAGGGAGATGCATCATTATCTATTAGTAACTGAACGATATCGCGTAATTATCTCAAACAAGTAATTTCGTTCGTGCGTTTGTAATGAACTATTTTACGTAAATTACTCCAGTAACTTTTACATGATCAATATTTTCTCTTCTACTTTGACCCGCATTTCTCAATTCCTTCCTGTTTTATCACTATAATTATCTGATTTATTATATATATATATATATATATATATATATTTATTTTATAGTAATNTTGTAATTGTTATTATACGAAAAAAAAAATACTTTAGTTTAAATACAAATTGAAAAATTTATATCAAAAATAGCATTTAACACATTTTCTAATAAATTAAATTGTATGAAAGTATTTGTTTTAAAAAATATTCTCTTCTCTTTATGAAAAAAAAATTATCCCCCGGGAAAAGTTTTTCTTCACATAAAAATTTCACTATTTTTTTAAAAAAAGAATTTAATGTGCATAAGGTGAAAAACTGAGTGTTTTTTTCTTCTTTTTTCATAGTTAAAAATCATAGTCAGCTGTTTTTGTTACAGTATTTTTCTCTCTACTTATGAAACGTTTTAATTTCTTTTTTCAAATAAAATTTTGCAAGATGAGCATTTTTATTTGTAGTAATATTTTTAATAATTAAAAAAATTTTATTTAGTTTTTAATACAAAATACCTTAAAAATAATAAATTAAAAATGTTTTATACAAATATTATACACTGAAATCATTAAACAGCCAATTTGCATCGTAGCATAATTAAAAATGTATACAATAATTACAAAAATAAGCGAATATATTCATTACTATTAATTATTGTTAATTATTCAAAATAAAACTTGAATAGAGCTAGACTTTTAAATTAATACGGTAATTATATTAATTACTTTGAATATTTTATAGTCATATATACTCATTTTTATAAGCGGAAAAATAATCATTAAGTGAGGTTTTGAAGAGTTGTATCAACAGCTGACATTCATACCTTTCACTTTCTTTGATTTGCTCTGGTTCCTCAAGGTTCCTAAGCTATTTTGCTATGAAAATCACGTAATGACATACGTCACGAATTACACCATAAATTAAACTTTTCGTTTCCTTTTCTTTTCTTCTATGAAATTAATTCAGAAATTGTTAATGTTTGAAGAATTATTTATTCATTTATTTTTTACTAAAATTTCGAAAAGATCGATTGAGTAAACAAGACTTTTTTAAAATGATTATTAAAAAATGCATTAAAAAATCTAATTTTTTGAATCGAGGATTAAAATAAAAATAATACTACCACATCTTTATATATAAATTATAAATGATGATAATATTCTATAAAAATCTATTCTGATATTTTGTTTATTTATAATAAATAAAGGATAAGTTTTCACTTGCCAAGCTTTTCTACTTTCAGTAAACATTTTATTTTGTTTCTATATGTAAATTCATAAAAATATTTACAATATAAACGTTCGAAAATTTTTGCATTGCTAATAAATAATTGTTTAAAATATACAAAATATTTTAAAACAAGCAAATGTTTATTGTAACATCATCAAAATGTTAGGCTGTAATTTTTAATTATATTTCTAATTTATTTAATTTAAAATATATGCTCTCTATTTCAAATTAGTAGTGTCTTGCCTCTGTACAGTACATCATACTTTTCCTGTTAGAATAAAGTCTCACCGGTCATCTAACTAATTACTTTCAGGGGGAAAATATTTGAATTAAAATAATGTGACTTCTGGTCTGTATTGGAAATTCCTGTATGGTTAATCGGTATTTCCTTCCCATTACCTTTCCATATAGGTTCGCATCTTGCATTTATGTAATTCTGTTCTTGAGATTAAGGAAAGACAGACAAACAGACGGACGACAGTGGGAATTTATAAGTTTACAAGTTTTTCAAATTGCAACCCAATAATTTATAAGCCGAATCAAATTTTATTTCCTTAACACCAATAAGTATATTTATTGCATACATGTTATGTTGTATCATAATTTATTGCAATTTTTTTTCTTTTACTTTACTCTCAACGGATTTTTGTTCAAATAAATCAAGTGAGATTACTTATTTTTTTTTTTTTTTTTTTTTTGTTAAAGAAAAATATTTTTATGTATTAGTTTTCTAAAACACAAAATTTTAATTATTTTGAAAAGTAATAATCGAGTTATTTGAGTTATTTAATTGTGTTTCTCGTTATATATTTTTATTGATTAAATTTATTTTTCTAATTTTTTGCTAAAACAGATTTCGCATAACTAAACACGAAAATGCTTTAAATATGTAAATTTATTCCCCCATTACTAGTAGAAAATTGAAAGAAACCGATGAAATCACGATTTTCAAATGAAACAAATGACTCGATTCGAAAAAAAAATTTGTTTAAAACACATCAACGAAGAATATCGCATTGGCAAACAGAATTATTCATTGCTGTGATTAATTATTGATTTTGATTATAAGAAAATTTTTATTTTACAAGCAGAAATAAGAAATCTGCTTGGAATCCTTATTATAAATATGTTTAAAAATTAATTATTAATTAAATAATTTATTTATTTATAAAATTCTATTCTACCTTTGATTAGGATAGAATTAATTTGTATAATGTTGAGGTGAATAGTAATTTTTAATAAGTTTTCATAAAATATTCAGAATAAGAATAGAATAGAATAATAATTTATCAGTTTCTTATAGAATTAACATAAATAAACAAGTGGAACAAAGCTCTAAAAGTATAGAACTACGTTACAATTGATGATTTAAATAAATGGATATCTGGGATTTTGCGAAGAGGGTGCAGTTAGTTTATATAGGTATTATTTATTCTTATACATTATTATTTGGTTTGATCCCAGAAGAGAGAATGGAAAAAGTATCAACTTCGCTAAAATTGATTGCTTTTGATATGGAAGGAAGTATACGTGGTGCTACAGTACCCTTTGGATTTAACTTTAGCAGTTTCAGAAACTGAATTAATACATTTTCTTTTTTGAAAATTTTAGATTAAATTATTAAAAATCACAATATAAAAAAATGTTACGTTTAATTTATATTTCTAACACGGTTTGATGATAATAAAATAGTTTGAATCTAAAAATAAACTGTTTATTAAATATCAATTTAATAAAAATAAGATAAAATTTGATTTTCTCCTCTACTTGTTTTCAGTTGATTAATTTTATGTTATCTTTATAATATCTAACTGTTAAAGAAGCAACATCAGATATAATAATATTTACGATCCCAATACGGGTGTATTCTACAGAGATTTCTTAGTCTGAGAGCGTTCGGTATTTAGTAAAATTTCTGATAAAATTTTACTCGACAACATTAATATCGATTTATTTTAAAGAAATGATATCTTAAAACTTCAATTCCCTGTACGCAATCAATTTTCATCTTGGAGTTATATATGTTCAAGTATACCTGTTCGAAATGTGATTATTTTGACTGAGGAACGAATAAATTATCAAAATAACGTTTCAAGATTAATGTAATAAACTGTGATTTTAACTATTTTCGGAAAAAAATCGTTACCTAGAACATTTATTAACATATGAAAACGTAATCTGTGCCATTTAACATATAAATTTTATTATTTATAGCAACGTTATCAGAGAAATGAATATAAAGATTTTGATTAGATTTTAAAATTAAATTTTTTATTTTGATATCAAGTCGGATTTGATTTATCAAATAAAACTTAGATTAAATTATTTTCTTGGTAACGTAGAAATCCACTATTTGATTTATGGGAAAGATCGTCCTGTACATGTATAAATTTCATTTGCAGAAACATATGGATATTATATGACATTTTGAAAGTGAATTATAAACAAAATAGTATATTAAATTTTCTAGATAAAGTTAAAAACGATTATTTATTTATTTTATAATAATAAATATAATAGAAAAAAAGTAATGATTTCTTTA